GGTTGCAGCCATCATTGTTGTTTGGCGGGCCTGGGCTGGGGATTCGAACCCTCCACCTTAGGTGTATGTGGCTGGTGCCTTAGCCGCTCGAGCCACAGGCGCCGAGCCAAGATTCTGATTTAATTGAAATAGGGTATAGCCTGGCCATTGGGATTTTTAAAAGCTCCCTAGGTGAATCCAGAACCACTGTTAAGACATAGCTCTGAGTAAAACTGTAGCATTGTGCTACAAGAGGCCGAGAATCAGTGGCAGACATAACTTGGCTTTGTATGAACTTCTCTGGCCCTGCCCTCTTCCCAGGGGCATGATACTCCCTGCTGGCAACAGGGGAGCTTCCTGCCACTAAATTTCACTCTTGTCCTGATAATCTAAATGAAACAGCAGAGAGTGAGCGGCACCTGTGGCTCAGTGAGTAGGGTGCCGGCCCCATATACCGAGGGTGGTGGGTTCAAATTTAGCCTGGCCAAACTGCAATAAAAGAATAGCCAGGCATTGTGGTGGGTGCCTGTAGTCCCAGCTACTTGGGAGACTGAGGCAAGAGAATCTTCTTAAACCTAAGAGCTGGATGTTGCTGTGAGCTGTGACACCATGGCACTCTACCAAAGGGTGACAAAGAGACTCTATCTCTAAAAAAAAAAAAGAAAGAAACAACAGAGAGATAAGAATCCAAAATAACACAAAATAACAAGACAGGGACTGGGTTTATCAGAACACAGCAAGCTCGTGAAGATTTCAAACCTGCTTGGTAAATGCAGAAGTCCCCAAGCCTCTTTCATTTTGACTGTATACTCCTAATACTAACATTTTTGGAAAATGTCCCAGAAATTAGAAATGAAAACTGAAAATGATCTAGCAATATGTTGCTCAAGAGCTGGTACAACCTATTTGGAGAGCTTTTGGCTGAACCCAGCTGACCTGTTTGCCCCTCCTTCCCATCTTTCTTCACAGTGGACTTGTATTTATTTATTATTTTTAGAACCAGGATCTCACTCTTGCTGGGACTGGTCTCGAACTCGTGAGCTCAAGCAGTCCTCCTGCCTCAGACTCTCAGAGTGCTAGGATTATAGTTGTGAGCCACCACACCCAGCCCCCTTCACAGTGGACTTTTTTTTTTTTTTTTGAGACAGGGCCTCAAGCTATCCCCCTG